GCATTGGCAGAAACGAGGTTCACAGGTGAAAGGGCTTGCTATAAATCATGTCTTGGACGATCAAGTCGGTATTTGACCATGAAACAAACGTAAATTCATACACTGTGCAAAATCACTGATGTAAATCGCTGCAATATTTGCCGAACTTGAAACATAACATCATTCCGTTAGTTTTGAAGTCGTCGTTTTGTGACGATTAAACCGGCTCGAGATGCAGTCAACTCAAACTTCGCGTACTCATAATATTGCATTGCAATTAGCAGTTTTAGCACGTATTTCAAATGGGATGCGAACAAGTCTGTCACCAATCGCCCTGACCCACAAATGCATTGATATATCTATGTTCAGTTGGTATTGCGTGTATGACGCTTATAACTCACTCCAAGTACGCGTTTCGCTATGTATAAAGGGTGAAACAACTTCACTTTTCAGCATATTTTTGTTTTCTGATAGTGACCCTAAAATATAGCTTAACTCGTCAGTTGTTGATATGATACTGTGTCATGTATTCTCGATGTTGTCACGCCTGAATAAATAACGAATGGGTTATTAAATATACAGTATGCTTTAACAATACTCGTGGATTAATGCAAGGGCGCGGTTGTGAACTGAATAGATCGAACAGTCCTAGAAACACATTCCCATTAATGTTTCAAATTGAGAATGAGACAAATTAATACTTGAATGAGGTGATCACATTGACACTGACTATATTAGGTGGAGCATTACTTGGGTGGGTCACTAAGATAAAATAAAATACAACTATTATCGCCGTGTAATTACCGTGTAAGTAATTAGCAAAATTCTAATATACCCTTAAATTCTAACGACCTACCCCACTGGTCAATTTATTTTCAAAAACCGCATCTTCACCAGCCATGTTTCAGGTATTGGGCCGTCGCCTCACCATTCCCAGAATTCCCACTATAAACCTGTATTACTGTCGACGAAATCAAACACAGTGGCGTGTGCTCTGGTGCGTTTCCATGGTGAATAAAACACGAAGTCAGTTGTTGTGGTTCGTTTTCGGGGAGGGAAATAGAACTCGGAATCGCATGTTTCTGTCAATAAATCTATAACATATTAAAAGACAACAAAATCTATTTGTTTAAATTTGAAATCGATGTGAGTTGTTGTTACAAAAGAACGATTGATTGATAGATCCAGCACATTCATTCATTCAATTTAACTGAGGTCAAATGCAGCTTTCCCTAACATGCACGGGTTCGTAGGGTTAGCCATGGAAGGTCGACTTCAGAGACACCGTACGAATCGAACAATGCCAAAACCGGTGCGCGCGACCTTTTTTTATTTTGATTTCAAAATTTTCATTATAATTGTGCTCGTATTTTTTTTATACAATTATAATTTTCTTCCAGTTTTTTTTTTTATTTCTGCCAAAAAATCCTAAGGAAAATTTCTGGAGCGGGCTTTTTAACTGTCGCTAACATGTCCACTAACATGAAATTTGTTTCTTGACGCGAAATGTGCTCATCGAAATTTGTATTATCCGTTATTATGAACGCATGCGTTGTTATAGTTACATGCTTACTTCTTCGCAATTTTACTTGTATTTGCTTTTATATTATATACACGATATGTGTGAACAACTTGGCTCTATTTGAACATTTATTATACAGCGTGGGTATTTTCTTCAAATTTACGATCGTTTGGTTTCCTATTTGAATACATTACTATAAGAGGTTAATGATGTAGGTCTGTCATAGAGGTTGGATTCGAAGAAGAACGGCAAACATATTTGAAGGGATACCTGCTTTGGCATGGTAAGAGCTTTTCCCATGGGTATCGCGTACTGTATTTATTGTCTAAACAGAACCTTTCGTATTTAACAAAGTGGATCAAGTGTCCGTACTCTGAGATGATTTGTGTATCGTTTCCCTCACCTTTATTTCAAGTACAATCGATACAACCCCTAGGCACTTCGTACTAAATGGAGTTTTTTTCTTAATCATAGAGTACATCTCACTCTATATAGATGCATGCATGCAAAGTGTGAAAATATATTTCGCCAGAGTGTTTTCATTCTTCGACGTACCTAGTAATCAGGCAGTGACTGTACTTGATGTTTATTGTTAACTTAGTGGATTCAACATGAAATATGTTTACGTTCAGTCAAGTGAACGAAACACGTGGAGGTCGTGCTAAACAAATGCAGTCAAAAGTATAACTTGCTACACACACATGTACGTATGCACATGTGTATGCACAGAAAATAATTTTCAAAAATCGCAGCGATCGAGAAAATCATAAACTATATGTGCGGAACGTGTCATTATAATGTGATACCGTGAATGGTTCAATTGAAATATGTGTATACACAGCAATACATCATGTATATTTCATATTTATTGCGTGTGGGCGCAATCAGATGTTTCATGTTAGATTATTGCAAGCTGCAGACATGAATACTTCGGTCTTGGGTCCTCGTCGACATAGAACAAAGAGTGATCGGCGTCTCCTGGACTCGCATCACTCATCTTAAACCGACCTTGTCGCTACAATGTGTCAATATTTTCATTCATTCTAATACACCAAAGCAAGAATGTCATTGTGTCGAAATAAAAGACCGTGCATTGGGACCAGACTTATATAGGAATGAAATGTTTACATGTGCATTAAAAGCCATACCGATCACCACACCCCGTGTAAGTCAACACACTAGAAATATAATTAGTAAAAATTTTACAATGCAAGGGCAATATTCAGTGTCATTGACCCAAACACGAGGCTGTACCATTTGTTTTTCTGGTCTTGACCATCGAATAATTGAGATAAATGATAATTATTAATATCATTATTAATATTTGAACTATTGGTAATATAATAATAATCGAGACGCATAAGAAATCTACAAAGTGGATATCCATATGCGTTTTAGCGCCACCAGCGACGATTAGTCACAGTCAGTATACATAGATTTCTTGGAGCCTGGAGATTGATATCTGGTTTAAAATTTAAATATAATATATTGTCCGTTATACAAGTATCATTTATTTACAATCTGATTTAGGTATTTCGTAATCTACTGAATCCAATTTATAGCAATCGGATTGTATATATATATATTAAAGTCAAACATTGTGAATGACCAATGAAACATTATGTAACAACGTGTGATTACTTGCGGTGAAGTATGTCACAAACAAAGGCACTTTCCATAGATACAATGCGTGTATCACGACACAGCCATCTCACTTTCTTCTAAATGTCAAATAACGCAGTAAATCTTTTGATGACGCACTGTATATAATGGCCTACTAACAAAACTACAGCTCATTGAAACTGAAAATATTTAATATGCTGCGATTTCGGAAGTTTGTTATGACTGATATGCCCTGGTCAACAGAATGAATAATATTCTTTGATTTGATACTATGAATTACATACATTAACCCTTTGTGTTATTCTTTACATGAACTAGGTACATATGTAGTTTGTTAAATCAAGCTACTCATGAGTGCAGCTTAGTACGCTGGGGTTGACCTGGTTCTTACACAGCATGCATTGGGATGTTACGCAATAAACCATTTTACTATATAGGCTTTCTTAAAATGCTGTTCATTTTACGAGCTTGGCGAACAATCTGGCTATTGTTTGAGTGCGAACTCGGTCAGTGCGTGTTCACGGATATTCGTTAAATTATCACCACTCGTGTAATATGGAGTGTTTAAGTTCTACTCCAGCCAACAGTAGTGGAATGTTTTTAAAGTTGTTTTTAAGAGAGCGCAGCATTTAGGTTCTCACGATGAGATACTAAAATAACAATTCAAGAGACAAGATGACAAGAAACAGGATGATTACTGATTGTCAGTGTATTGCAGTCGTTGTCTGCAGTGTTTGACGTCAACGTGAGTAGCGTACAGTTGACTGTGTATTGTTGAAACTTGACAAAGCCCTTCCTCTATATAAAAAAAAGTCCGAAGTTTGTAAACTTCCTGTTATGATCCGCGAAATCACAAATATTTCGATATGCAAGTTCATTGATGTAACAAATCGTTGTTTACAATATCTAAACAAAAATAATCATGTTTCTCAACGGGTTGATGTTTATTTGGCGACCAGAAACCAAGGACCAAAATATACCTACGGTACTTAAAGGATACCACGCAGTGGTCTAAAGCATGAAAAAACAAACCTGGTTTCCGCTCAAAATAGTCATCCAGGCACTACGGGTTTTCAACATTAATATTGTAATTTTTCGTGCAATTAAAAAGTGTTGTCGATTCTTCGATCAAATTAAACTGCTGGATTCGTGTGCAGTACAATATGCGATTGTCTTTAGCTATTTTATCAATAGGTTTCTGTTATATTTGAATTTTGATTTCATCTGAATATCGATTTTGTGTGCGATCATTCCGACTGGACTCGGACTGGACAGGTTTAATGTGGTCGGCATGTGGTCTAAAAGGAATATTGACTATGGTTGTCACGAGTTCCATCAAATTAAATTATATTTCATCCATTGAGCATGTTTATTTGTGTTAACAATTATTTTTAAGTAATAAGAAAACAACAGTAGTTGCCAATCACACGTTAATTAGCCGGCGATGCGCGGTTTGTTTACTAGTTAACCAGCTCTGAAGCGCGATCAACAGGTTGAATTCATGCATGCAGGGCATTGCTTGGGTGATACCATTTATACAGCAGGTGCTCTGAGTGACACGGGTTAAGATTAAAAGAAGATTTCTAACGCCGAGTCTACTTCAGCAGACTGTTTGTTGTAAACGCCAAAGGGTAGAGTTCGTGTTGCCAATGTTCTTCCTTTTATTCGAAATCCTATGGTTTTGTCTTTATTCAATTACTCAGGTTATTTACAAACTCATCGTGGCCATTCAATGACCTTTTTCACACTACCTACCATAATTGACAGTCTTCATATTGTTTGGTTGCAAAATGACGGCCATTCATGATCGCCTCTTTGTTGTGAAGTGTCCCTTTTATAGCGCTGTGAACACTCTCTGTGATCATATCTTTCATCAGGTTATTCTGGTAAACATCGCATCCTCCATTCCGTCAGTATTGGGCAAGACTGCCGCAAATAGATGTTCGCATAATTATCACTAACTCGAACAGGACTGCACATCGTAGCAAGTTAATTAGATTATCATATGTAACAATTTCAATGCATGGTAAGTAGTTCTTATTTAATTGGTTAACAATTTAATCAATGGCACCGTCGGTGAAAGTATCCAGCTTGCGTAGGCATTGTTCTCAATGTGGTGCTTGTGTCCCTTCTTAGAGAAGCCGGGCGATAATTTACAACATCTGATGGGCTTCGTATGGTGCTTGTGGATAGCCCAGTACTACGCTGCAATAACACGCTGGGGTCAGTATGGTGCGTGTCGGGGTAATTGTGTATAAATTCAGTGGGAGTACATTGGCAACATTCCGATATTACTACTGCAGTGGTATCAGTGTGGTACCTGTCGCGAGTGCTTTGGAGACAGTCCGATTTTACCACTGCAGAGGGATCAATGTGGTACCTGTCGTGAGTGCTTTGGAGACAGTCCGATTTTACCACTGCAGTGGGATCAGTGTGGTACCTGTCGTGAGTGCTTTGGAGACAGTCCGCAAGGCCGTAGGAACCGTATCGGCCGTACCGGCTATGGCCGGACCACTTCTGCACGCCCCCCTCTAGCAGGCATGGTCCTTCGGCCCACGTCATCATACGCCTCGGGGCCCACGGCCCCCGATGGATGGCCGGACGAACTAATTTTTGCTTCCTACAGCCATGGTCCGATATTACCACTGCAGTTGTATCAGTGTGGTACCTCAGGCTGTCGTGAGTACATTGGAGACAGTCCGATCGCGCCACTGCAGTGGTGTCAGTGTGGTACCTGTCGTGAGTGCTTTGGAGACAGTCCGATCTTACCACTGCAGTGGGATCGGTGTGGTACATGTCGTGAGTACATTGGAAACAGTCCGATCTTGCCACTGCAGTGGTATCAGTGTGGTACCTGTCGTGAGAAAATTGGCGACATTCCGATTTTACCACTGCAGTGGTATCAATGTGGTACCTGTCGCGAGTACATTGGAAACAGTCCGATATTACCACTGTAGTGGTATCAGTGTGGTATCTGTCGTGAGTGCTTTGGAGACAGTCCGCAAGGTCGTAGGAACCGTATCGGCCGTACCGGCTATGGCCGGACCACTTCTGCACGCCCCCCCCCCTCTGGCAGGCATGGTCCTTCGGCCCACGTCATCATACGCCTCGGGGCCCACGGCCCCCGATGGATGGTCGGACGAACTATTTTTTGCTTCCTACGGCCATGGTCCGATATTACCACTGCAGTTGTATCAGTGTGGTACCTCAGGCTGTCGTGAGTACATTGGAGACAGTCCAATCGCGCCACTGCAGTGGTAACAGTGTGGTACCTGTCGTGAGTGCTTTGGAGACAGTCCGATCTTACCACTGCAGTGGGATCGGTGTGGTAACTGTCGTGAGTACATTGGAAACACTCCGATCTTGCCACTGCAGTGGTATCAGGGTGGTACCTGTCGTGAGTACATTGGAAACAGTCCGATCGCGCCACTGCAGTGGTATCAGTGTGGTACCTGTCGTGAGAACATTGGAAACAGTCCGATCTTACCACTGCAGTGGTATCAGTGTGGTACCTGTCATGAGTACATTGGAAACAGTCCGATCGTGCCACTGCAGTGGTATCAGTGTGGTACCTGTCGTGAGTACATTGGAAACAGTCCGATCTTGCCACTGCAGTGGTGTCAGTGTGGTACCTGTCGTGAGTACATTGGAAACAGTCCGATCGCGCCACTGCAGTGGGATCAGTGTGGTACCTGTCGTGAGTACATTGGAAACAGTCCGATCTTACCACTGCAGTGGGATCAGTGTGGTACCTGTCGTGAGTACATTGGAAACAGTCCGATCGCGCCACTGCAGTGGTATCAGTGTGGTACCTCATGCTGCCGTGAGTGCTTTGGAGACAGTCCGATCTTACCACTGCAGTGGGATCGGTGTGGTACCTGTCGTGAGTACATTGGAAACAGTCCGATCTTGCCACAGCAGTGGTATCAGTGTGGTACCTGTCGTGAGTACATTGGAAACAGTCCGATCGCGCCACTGCAGTGGTATCAGTGTGGTACCTGTTGTGAGTACATTGGAAACAGTCCGATCTTACCACTGCAGTGGTATCAGTGTGCTACCTGTCGTGAGTACATTGGAAACAGTCCGATCGCGCCACTGCAGTGGTATCAGTGTGGTACCTGTCGTGAGTACATCGGAAACAGTCCGATCTTGCCACTGCAGTGGGTCAGTGTGGTACCTGTCATGAGTACATTGGAAACAGTCCGATCGCGCCACTGCAGTGGGATCAATGTGGTACCTGTCGTGAGTGCTTTGTAGACAGTCCGATCTTGCCACTGCAGTGGTATCAGTGTGGTACCTGTCGTGAGTACATTGAAGACAGTCCGATCTTACCACTGCAGTGGGATCAATGTGGTACCTGTCATGAGAACATTTGAGACAGTCCGATATTACCACTGCAGTGGTATCAGTGTGGTACCTGTCTTGAGTGCATTGGAAACAGTCCGATCTTGCCACTGCAGTGGGATCAGTGTGGTACCTGTCGTGAGTACATTGAAGACAGTCCGATCTTACCACTACAGTGGTATCAGTGTGGTACCTGTTGTGAATGCTTTGTAGACAGTCCGATCGTACCACTGCAGAGGGATCAATGTGGTACCTGTCGTGAGTGCTTTGTAGACAGTCCGATCTTGCCACTGCAGTGGTATCAGTGTGGTACCTGTCGTGAGTACATTGGAGACGGTCCGATCTTACCACTGCAGTGGGGTCAATGTGGTACCAGTCGTGAGTACATTGGAGACAGTCCGATATTACTACTGCAGTGGGATCAGTGTGGTACCTGTCGTGAGTACATTGGAGACAGTCCGATATTACCACTGCAGTGGTATCAGTGTGGTACCTGTTGTGAGTACATTGGAGACGGTCCGATCTTACCACTGCAGTGGGGTCAATGTGGTACCTGTCGTGAGAACATTGGAGACAGTCCGATATTACCACTGCAGTGGTATCAGTGTGGTACCAGTCGTAAGTACTTAGGCGACAGTCCATTCTTGCCACTGCACTCGGATCAGTGTGTACATGCCAGAGTCTTAGAATACGGTAAGGCTATTTATCGACGTGTAATTATTTGACTGCATGCACACGTGGTGACCGTCAGTAATACGGTATTTCGGATCTCGAGAACAATAATTACAGATATATACAACCATTATGTTGCCAGTTGACTGAGTCTGAATAAAATGGGTTTGCATTTATTCTCACGGTATCGGACTTCTTGACAACATAGCTACCTTGACCATTACAGAAAATGTTAACGATATCAATAATTATTCTTGTATATGATCAATCAATGCCATATGTAGTTCGTACAGTAAAGACAATTGGTAGTTGTATGTGTGTATGGGAAAGCACTTTGTATTCGGGCGCTGTTTGTGTATTTATGTGTGTTTATGCCAGTAACTGTTATTGTCAGACAAGTGCATGTTACTACAGGGTGTTGGTGAGATATCCAGAAGGAAATGATTCCACGTAAACACAAATCAACAACATTTCTCTCGATAAATGCCTAGGTCATTCACCAGTGACATCAACAAAATGAAACGACGATATATCCTAATAGTCATGGGATGAGTGATGTGATCAATAAAGATTAACGAGACAGAAACTGTTCATATAAGGTCACTCACCTTATATCGTTGTGGTTAGACCAGGTATTTATTGATCGCTGACCTGTTTGTGATGCGATCGAACAATAAAACCACTACTCATCTCCCTATTGTTAATAAACATCCGTACAATGGAACTTGTGCAGCCATGCAAACGCACCAAGTGGCTAGCACGCCCTCAAGCGTGGAATTCAATGCGGAGTCAATGACCCTTCGCATTCAGATCAAAATCAAGTTCGGCCATAAGGATGTTTAGTGTATGGAATAGAAGAGAGATTAACGTTCGATGTTGAGAAACCCTTTCTTAAACCGCGTGGGAAGATGCGTACATCTGGGTCAGACATTCTGCATAGAACCTTGAAACATAGAACAATCCCTATTCCCACTAAATAATCGATGCTCAGCCTTGTACTAACTGTGAATTACTATGCACATGTTTTAACTTTTAATTCGTGCCGAAGATATTCAGCAACGTAAACAAATTGGTGAAGTTCATTGAAACTCTTTGACTGAAAGCCTAATATAGACAAAAGTATGGGTGGGTCATTGACTGGCAAAATACTTGTACCACGTGATTCATGATGCTACAATTGTCTCGAGACGCCAGGTCACGCGAGAACTTACTTTCTTTCACTTTCAAAACAACCTGTTATCTATGATGTCATTCTTGAAAACACGAAGGATTTTAGGGAAACCAGTCGGTTTCAAAATGGAGGAATTACTTTCAACTTTCTTTTAGTAGTGTCATTTTACTCATAACGCTTTAACAACTAGTTTGTGACATATGTCAAATACCTGTATTTTACGTCAAATAGCTACATTATATGTCAAATAGCTATGGTATATATCAAATAGCTATATTATATGTCAAATAGCTATAGTATATATCAAATAGCTACATTATATGTCAAATAGCTATATTATATATCAAATAGCTATATTATATGTCAAATAGCTATATTATATTTAAAATAACTATATTATATGTCAAATAGCTATGTATAAATCAAATAGCTATGCATATGTCAAATAGCTATATTATATATTATATGTCAAATAACTACATTATATATTATATGTCAAATAACTACATTATATGTCAAATAGCTATGTATAAATCAAATAGCTATATTATATGTCAAATAGCAGTATTATATGTCAAATAGCCTTTTATTTCACAGTGTTAAATTATAGACCAATATTACACAGATTTATTACACCGAACTGCTATTATATATGGGATAAATGTTGTTATTTCACGTCTTTTTCCTTTTATACCATATAGATGATTCCAACATATATCACATTCTCCAGTGGTTGGTGGCGCTGTTAGCCGGGGGAGTTAAATGTAACAGTTGTTACAATGCGATTTTACTTGAACTTCTCTAAGAATAAAGATTGTCAGTTCTTGTTGTTTGTGTGC